GATAATGATATGGATGCACATTTAAATAGTGAACATGCTGATGTAGGTATTACAGCAGATGGTGCCGTGGAGAATAGAACGGAATCAACTCACATCAATAAGCGACTAAAAAAATCACCTATCTGGGCAGAGTTTACAGAGATTAAGGATGATAATGGTGTCACCAAGGTGTGTTGCAACCACTGTAAAAAGCTATTTACAAGGAACAAGACTACTTCAACAAATCAATTCCACAGGCACTTGCAATCATGTCGTGTTTTTCAAAAAGAAAAGGCTGCACAAGATAAGGGGAAATTTTCACAAACACAAATTGGTTTTCTTCCAACAACTGTAGAGCTATCTTCTTTTCCAGCATTACGTGATGGGAAATTTGATATGGAAGCGGTAGCTCATTGGATTATGATGCATGAGCATCCTTTCTCCATTGTAGAAGATGAAGGATTTAATTTGATGCATAGACTGGGAATGCCTGAGTGGAGATCATTTACTAGAATCACGGCAAAACATATTTGCGTGAAAGTGTACGACGTGGAGAAGCAGCAATTGAAAATTTTATTGAAGAATGTGAACAAAATCAGCCTTACTACAGACTGTTGGAAGTCGAAGAATCAAAAAATTGAGTACATGGTCATAACTGGTCATTGGATTGATCAAAGCTGGATTTTACAAAAACGTATGCTCAACTTTGTCCATATTCCACCTCCTAGACAAGGCCTTGAGATTGCAAATGTTGTGTGGCGGTGCTTGGAAGAATGGAGAATCGATTCTAAGGTTTACACTATATCTTTGATAATGCTTCAGCGAATGATACTACAATTAATAACTTACAGATTTTTATCGAAAGTAAAAAGAAGCTGCTTTGTGAAGGAAGTTTGTTCCATGTCAGGTGTTGTGCACATATTCTAAATTTGATAGCACAAGATCGTCTTTCTCAGATTAAAGACATCATAGAAGTTGTCCGTGACAGTGTCGAGTACATTCGACGATCAGATGCAAAATTGAAGATATTTTCAGAGATTGTGAAGCAATTAAACTTGCGAGATAGAAAGTTGGTGGATGATTGTCGGACAAGATGGAAAATTTAAAGACGTGTTTCCAAGGTTTGCAGACCGAAAGACGTGTTTCCAAGGTTTGCAGACCGAGAGCCTCATTTTGAAAAATGCCCAACTAATGAAGATTGGAAAAAAGTTGAGAAAGTGTGCTCGGTATTGGAGGTGTTCTGGACAGCTACACATATCATTTCTGGAAGTGATTATCCAACCTCAAACTTATTTCTTAATGAAGTAAGTAGAGTGAAGGTAATGTTGGATCAAAAGTCATCAGATACTGATTCTTTCATCCAGGATATGGTCAAGAAAATGAAAATCAAGTTTGATAAGTATTGGGGGGAGTCTGATTTACTTATGTCTGTAGCAGCTGTGTTGGATCCTAGATGTACGATGACAGCACTTCAATTTCGTTTTCCCAAGATTTATGGGCCAATACAAGGCGAGAGAAATTATACGTGTTCGAGAAACTTTATATCAACTTTATGCCGAGTATGCGGCGCAACAAAATAGTGAAGAGTCGAGCGGGGAAGTAGGAAGCGGAAGTTCTCAAAATCAGCAGGGTAAAAGCTCTGAATCTTTATGTGGTTGGTCCGAGTATGTTGATTATTTGAAGTCCGTGGAATCAGTTCAACCAAAAAAATTTCGAGCTTGATATGTATCTTCAAGAAAATTGTTATATGTCCAATAAAGAAGATGGGCGAGAATTTGATGTTTTGGATTGGTGGAGAGTTCATGCCTTGAAATACAAGATATTATCAGTAATGGCGAGAGATAGTTTAGCCATTCCGATCACCACAGTTGTTTCAGAGGCTTCTTTTAGCGCTGGAAGTAGAGTAATCGACAAATATCGTGCCTCATTGGCTCCGGATACAGTGCAAGTTTTGATGTGTGGGGGAGATTGGTTAAGAAAAAAATTTGGTGTAAAAAAGAAATCTAAGGTAAAATTAGAAGGATTATTGAATTATTCATTATTTTTATGTCTTTGTTTAGTATTCTTAATTTTTGTGTTGCAGAATGAGAAGAAAGCAATACAAGTCTTTCTTCCAGTTGACGATGAAGTCCCGAAATCATGATTGACATGGATTCTATGTTGCATTAGTAAATTTTGTACTGTTTTAGTTGTTCTATAGCATAATGACAAGAAAGCAATGTTGTGTGTTTGCTACTAATTTGGGTAATATTTTTTTGCAGATTTAAAAACCATAAATTTGTAAGTGAATTAGAGTACTCAAGTATAATTTGCCAAGTTTGAAGGATAATGGGGTTTGGAGGGCAGAGGTGCATTTAGGATATCAGCCTTTTGAAAATATAAATTAAGTACATTTTGTGGAGATGAATTTTTTTGAAAAAATGTTTAGATGTTGTGGCCTGAGCGCATTTCTATATTTTCTTAATTATGGAGATGGTTTTTGTGGATTTATTCAGGTTTTCGTCGTATTTTTTTTTTAATTTTATTGCATAATTTTACTTACTTGCAGTTCGTTCCGATTTGATGGATAGGTTAATCGAAGGAAAATTTGGTTATGCCGAGCTCGAGCTCGAGCTCGGGCTCGTTTGGTATACGAGCTCGAGCTCTTTAGAAACAAAACGAGCTCGAGCTCGAGCTCAAAACTGTAGGCTCGTCGAGCTCGAGCATGGTATACTTGTAGCGAGCTCGAGTTCGAGCTCACAAAATAAGGCGAGCTCGGCTCGTTTACTCCCCTAGTTTACACCCCTGAACTATAAGGGTTGTACCAGTTTGCCCCCTTGAACTACAAAACGTCTCAAATAACCCCTTCTATCTAATTTTTTTTTTTTTTTTTTTTTGCTGATGTGGCACCTTGACTTTGACTTTATGATTTGTAGCTATTTTTTTCCACCTTTGGACATTTTCTGACTACTTTGCCCCTCTATTCAATTATATATGTGTGTGTGTGTGTGTGTGTGTATTAAAGCTTTTTCACTGATTTTCTTTTTTTTTTTGGTTATTTTGGCAAGTTTTTTTGCTCCATATTTTTTGGTTTCTTTTCTCGTATTTTCCGCTTTTCTTATCCTTATTTAACTACTATGATTTTTTCTTCTAATTTATTAAAATGTCGAGTAACAGCTCAAATATACAAAGTTCTTGTACTTCGTGTTACAAGACATCTTATAATGCACGAAAATCACCCCAAAAGTTATGCATTTAATTAACGGCATAAACAAAAAATGCACAAAATTGAACAAAATTAGCAAACATATTGAATCCAAAAATTAAACACAATTAAGAAAATCATGTAAACCATAAATTCACTTAAATCACAAATTCATAGCAAAATCGACAAATACAATACGTATTAATTATATAATTATTAAATTTCTTACAAACCCCCAAGGGCAGAGAAGTAATTGCACATTTAAATTAAATGTGTTAATAATTTAATGGTTGACCATAAACTCGAGGGGAGTATTTGAGACATTTTGTAGTTCAGGGGGCAAACTGGTACAACCCTTATAGTTCAGGGGTGTAAACTGTATTTTGCCCAAATATATATATTGACCAACTATTCCAGCAGCACCCCAGATACCCTCAAACCTTCCACCTTATTTTACATTACAACTGAAGTCCGTCTGCTCAATCTATATAACATAGTTTACTATTAGCTATGAATTAAAAAAAAAACAAAAAGAAAAAAAGAAAAATTGGATTATGTGAGTGTATCTTTTTGTGCAGGAAAAATATAGTTTTTATGCCACAAGTTTGCACCGATTTCACATTTGGTCCATAATGTTAAAAAAAAAAACCCATTGGTCCCTTATGTTTCATAAAATCAATACTCTAAAATCAACACTTTTAGTCATTAATGTCAATTTCCCGTTAAAACTAACGGAATCAAGCTTGTGTCCATCACTGCCTTAACTAACGGCCTAACGGTAAATTGACGGAAATTACCAAATGTATTAAATTATTGAAACATGAGGGACCAAATATATTTTTTCGTAAACATGAAATCAAATGTGAAATCGGTGTAAACTTGAGGGATGAAAATTGTATTTCCCCCCTTTTTGTGACATTGAAAAATCAATTAAAATTAACCTGTGAGCCTTCCATGCCATATATACCATATTTGAGGATAGACTTGCATAATTCGAGGGCAAAGAACCGTCTTGTGATTTAAATTTTGATGAACCTTCAACACAACATTTAAAATGTTCGAATTATCTGAATTAATTCGAACAAATTAACAGACACCAATGGCCAAAAAAATATATGATTAATGTTACTACTTTTTAATGTGGTCTAAATTACATCATTATTAACATCAACATATTTAATGAAGTTACTTAATTGATCTTGGAATGTGATCGATTTGTAATAGTTATTTGGCAGGAGTACAAAATATGAAAGGAGTACAAAATTATTTGTATACAAAACACATTGCAATTATGCTAAATAAAGTATCAACTTTTGTTTTTGAGGGGCGGCTGCTCCTTTGCCAAAGCATAGATACACCCCTGCATGTACATCATATATGAAAAATAAAACAGACGATCGACAAAATGAATTTTCTCGCTTTATAATGGATAAAAGTGCGTCTGTATATAACAGATTTACTGAAACAGAGAAAGTGCAAAAATGCTTGAACAAAGTCATTACTCATTGACGTGAGAATGAGAAGAAGGCTTCTCGACTCAAATAGGCTGTTTATTCACGTGAAGCCATAGTTCGATCGGAACCTGGATGTTATCCCTTGTGGTTCTTTGTAGGGGTTAAGTATCCACGTTTTAGATGGTTGGTCTTCCATATACTATTTGATTTATACAAGTGATCAATGTCCCGTTTTTTTTCTACGTATCGATCTTAAAGAAACTCTACTCTAATTTGCATTATGACATGATAATGAAGAATTTAATGCATATTTTATGACACAAACTATACACATTTGCTCCCACACTGTTGCATAGGCCGAAACTTTAATTTTTTTTAAATCAATATGTATTAGCAATTTAATTTTTTTTAAATCAATATGTATTAGCAATCTATTTAATTACTCTAATGTATATTACTTTTCTGACCTTCAACTCTTACCTATTTAGAGGGATACTTTTGTGCATACATAAAATGAAAGAAACCACCTTTGATCTACACTTTTATAGATAGTATAGATACAGATAAATGCAAAAATAATTTCAAGAAACCAAATCAATTTAGAAATAATTGAAAAATGACCACTCTATCTCATAAAAAATACAAGATCAGAAAAACAATTCAAGAATCATTACAAAAGAATACAAACTTATAAACGTAAATCAAATCAAATGACACAAAGAACACCGGCTATTCTTACAGAAATTTCCAAAACAAATATATGTCAAACAAAACTGCATAAAGTAAAGAACAAATCCACAATTCAAGCTTCTTCAGCTTCATTGTCATCGTCACCAAAAGTTTCTTGGGATGCCTCTTCGAGTGATTTTCCATTGGACTCGGGAACAGCAAAAGTGCAAATCATTCCAAGTGCATTGATGCATCCAAGAATAATCAGAGCATTCTTAATACCAATACCTGGTGGATAACCAGCGTCGGTCTTTGCTTTGTCTTGGTTTTGTGCGGCGTAAAGAAACCCGTAAGCACCAATAATGGCGCCCGCTTTTCCTGCTGCAGCTGATATTCCGTGGCACGTGGACCTTAATCGGGCTGGGAATATTTCAGCTGGCACGACGAACGTTGTGGCGTTGGGCCCAAAATTGGCGAAGAAGAATGTGAGGGCGTACATAATGACGAATCCAAGGTGATGAGTTTTCCAGTGGTCGTAAGGAAGGGCAATGCCGAACATGAACACCGTCATGAAGAAAAATCCCATTAGTTGGATTGCGAATCTCCCCATGATATCGATGAATGCCACCGTGAACCAGTAGCCGGGGACTGTGCTGCAAAGCGCGATTAGGGTTTGGGCCTTAGCGATTCTGAAGACTTCGTGAAGGCCGCTCATGGTTTTGGCCGGTGGAATCCATCCAATAGCGGATAAGACGTCTTTTTGGAAGAGATTTTGGCTGTAAAAGGCGTTATCCAGAAGAAACCAGGTGGAGGTGGTTCCGAACAAATGGAGGCCGTGGCGGCGGAGGAATTCCTTAGAAAATAAGCCAAAGTTGTTGGCTTTGCCTCGTGATATCTTCTCTACCTTCTCTTCTTCAGCTTCAAACTCCACATTCAAAACTTTGCCCATGTCTGTCGCTGCCTGTTTAGCGTTCTTGGCTACGAGGGCGGTGTAACGGGCGGTTTCCGGCATCTTCATGCGCCAGTAGAAAGTTAAGGCGGCAGGTAAAGCGCCGAACATCAAGACAATGCGCCACACGTAGTCGGCTTCCGGCGGTGTGGAGAGGGCCGGATTCTGCTCGTACGTCGGCCGGTGGAACTTGTGGTCAAACGCCGATGACACAATCAGAGATATTATCCCACTGAATAAGATCCCCATACCCTGCATGGCAAAAACCGCGGCGATAAAAGCACCACGAGTCTTCTTGTTAGCGTATTCTGCCATGATGGTGGCGGAGAGAGGGTAGTCGCCACCAATGCCGAAGCCAAGCCAAAATCGGAAGAAACATAGACTCGCCATTACACCCTTTGGAGTATGGCCGAAGGAAAAGCCGGAGGCAATCGAACATACGATCATAATGAGGAGAGTTAGTCCGTAGACCTTTTTCCGTCCCATTTTGTCACCGAGCCACCCGAAGAAGAGTTGTCCGATGAGGGTTCCGACGAGTGCGACACCGGTGACGGAGGAGGAAACACTCGGGGGAAGAACTCCGGGCTTTGGTGCACCGGCCTTGGTGTAATAGAGGCGTCCTAACAACTTAGCGACCAGTGAGATACTGAAGAGATCGTACGCGTCGGTAAAGAAGCCCATTCCGGCGATGACAATGGTGGTGAAATGGTAAAGTTGGGTTTTAGCGACATCAAGTGCGTTTAGCACTTGCAATTGATCTCGTGCCATCGATCTTTAGTTGATTCTTGATCCTCTCTCTGTAACAATTGTTAAAAACATATATCACCGACTAAAAGACCCTTAATTTGCAACTAAAATACCCTTATCCAGACTGTCCCTATTAAACATAAATTTGGAAATACTGTAATTAATGCTTGATCATTGTTTTTAACGTATATAAATCATAGCACAATAATTTTATTGGAACTCTCAAGATCCAATTAGTTATCTCCCAATTAGCCAAGATAAGCCATAACCAAACTTATTTTGACGAGTCGGCCCGGAAAATAATAGGGCTAACCAAACTTCAAACTAAACCTTATTATTAATTAGTTAATCTTTGGTTAATCTTGCCAACCAAACGGCCCTTAAATAATAGATAATATGAAACAATTATTTTTAAACGTAATAAATTAATTAAACTGCAATTATGATTGAGGTAAAACAAAATGGAGAGAGAGAGAGAGAGAGAGAGAGATAATTTAATAAAACTTAGAATGATATGTTTAATTCCATTTCATGGAGGGAAAAAAATTTGAATACTTGAAAATATATTGAGAAACTCTCGTACCTTCAAATCGAAGGGTTTCAACGATGATGTCGGAAAATGAGGTGCTGATCAGCTGATGGGATAAGAGTTTTATTGAATGATAGGGACTATATAAAGGTGGTCACCTGCCCAAGTTGCTTGATAATGAAACACCGTACACAATCAGAATATTCGGCATAATGGCATATACCCTAAAATGTCAACTCTCATCTGAGTTTCTCAGACATCCCAAATTGATATATATATATTCTAAAATGTCAACTGATCTGAATTTCTCAGACACACCAATTCAATTGATATTTGTTTATAAAATGTGAACTATGTCTCTGTATTAATATATTATGAGTCAATCTGTACGGTTTAGTTATGCTACGTACGTTGGTCGGGTTATTTCCAGGTGTAATGCTACACCTGGTGATAATTACATCAGGTGATTTTTTTTTTTTCACCGTTGACGTACACTTTTTTTTTTTTTTCGTTGACCTACACACAGCATGCATGTAATGTGTATATAACTAGTAAAAAAATTACTCAGTGTATTTCACCTGATGTAGTATAATATAAACCCCTGTTGATCGTGCTAGATTTGTTAATCCAATTGCCATTGTCTGATGTTCATGTTTGTTCTCGTCACTCTGACATGGCAAATCAACCCAAAAATATGATAGCAAAAGAAGCTAAATTTAACCAATTTAATAAGTAATATATATATATATATATATATATATATATATATATATATATATATGGGTCTATTATATATATATATATATATATATATATATGGGTCTATTATTAGAAATAAGTTCATTATGAGCTACTTATTCATAAAAAGGGATTCTGCCAAAAAACTTACTTGAAAAAATTCAGACAATATCCAGAGGTGTGTAGAAGACTAAAATACCCTCTCACCTTTTAATATGCTCTAATTTCATCATTTAATTCAGTTTAACCTCAATTTGACCCCAAATTATTCAATTTTGACTCCTAACCCAAATTTGAGTACTACAATTTCGTCCATCACCGCCGTTGACCGCCGGTCTCCGGGTTGATTTTTTTTTTCTGTTGGTCTCCGGCGTTGACTTTTTTTATTTTATTTTTTTTCCCGCCAATGACATTTTTTGAATTTGTTTGTTCTTCAACATTTTTTGGCCCGTTTAAACAGTAATATTGTTGTGGTTGACAGTCATATTAAGTAATACTGTTTAACACAGTAATATTGTTATATTACTCGTTAGCACAGTAATATTAACACAACAAACATCACAATTATTGTGTAATGGTGCATTGTGTTAACCTTCACTCTCGTATAATAGCTTGCAAACTATACGAGAGACATAAACCATACTAGGCTAACCATGTGTGACAAATTCCACCTAACGACCACTAACAAGGGAATTCGAACTTGAATCAATTGACACAAGCTCATTTGCACCAACCGCTAGACCATCCCTTGCGTGACTGTGTATTTGTTATTTGCAATTTCCTGTAGTTGTTTCATAAGTTTTGGGATTTATCTTTATCAATCCAAAGTTTACATGATTATTTTTTGTATTTAGACTATTTTCCAGATTTTATGTTTTCAAATATAGTTAAATAAGTTTTAGATATTTATGAAATATTTTAGGGCAAATTACGGTCATCCTCTGAGATAAGGTTAAATTACGACAACAACTTTTATGTTTGGGTTAAAACAACCACCCCCAACTATCTATTGTCTTATGGAAAAATTTGTCATTCAATAGATAAATTTAACACGGAAAACAATACATAGTTGAGAAGAATGATTGTAATTATCCCAACATGAGGAGGTTTTCGTAATTTGATCTTATCTCAAGAGTGACCATAATTTGCCTAATATTTTAAGAATGAGTAAAGAAGTTTCAAATTACAGGGAGAAGAGAGAAATTGATAGTCATGAGTCGAACATGTCACATATTTCATCTTGTTGGAGATATTAATACTAAATGATACATTTCACTAACAGCTTAAGCTTTTGGTTGAGATGGTCATTCAACATGGTATCAGAGGCAGGCCAAATGAAAGATCCTGAGTTCGAATCCCACCGCCACCCAATTCAAATATTTCAAGTGCAAGGCTTCAAATGTAATTCGCCTGCACTTGAGGGGGCGTGTTGGAGATATTAATACTAAATGATACATTTCACTATTTAATTACACAAAATCAAAATATGACAAGTGAGGTTTTCTTCAAAGATTTTCTCAGTAAAAGATGATGGCAAATCTTGATTAAAATAGGCAATTGACGGTTATTTCTATGCTACACCTGGTGAAGGTTATATCGGGTTTATTTTATCTTTAATCTACACTCACCAATATAGGTTTGTGTGTGTGTGTGCTTGTTTTTGTGCACTTATATACAGTAAAGATATACCCGGTGTATTTCACCCAGTAAATATTACACTGCGGGAAATTCAATCAATACAAAAATGAAACACACAAATAAAGAGGGACTAATATTAGAATATTTCAAGGAAACGTCAAATGAACACTCTATCCTCATAAAAAAAAATTATAAGATCAGACAAAACAATCCAAGAACCATTACGTACAAAAGAATACAAACTTACAAATGTAAACCAAAATCAAATGACACAACCAACACCAGACATTCTTACACAGAAAATTCCAAAACAAATATATGTCAAACAAAACAGCATAAAACAAAGGAAAAGTCGAGACCTCAAACTCCTTCAACTTCATCATCGTCACCAAAAGTTTCTTGGGATGCCTCTTCGAGTGATTTCCCATTGGACTCGGGAACAGCAAAAGTGCAAATCATTCCAAGTGCATTGATGCATCCAAGAATAATTAGTGCATTCTTGATACCAATGCCTGGTGGATAACCGGCGTCAGTCTTTGTTTTGTCTTGGTTTTGTGCAGCATAAAGAAAACCGTAAGCTCCAATAATGGCGCCCGCTTTTCCAGCAGCTGCTGATATTCCGTGGCACGTAGACCTTAATCGGGCTGGGAATATTTCAGCGGGAACAACGAATGTGGTGGCGTTGGGACCAAAATTGGCGAAGAAGAATGTAAGGGCGTACATTATCACAAATCCGATGTGATGAGTCTTCCAGTGTTCGTAAGGAATGGCCACAGCAAACATGAAAACCGTCATGAAGAAGAATCCCATTAGTTGGATTGCGAATCTTCCGACGATGTCGATAAAAGCCACCGTGAACCAGTACCCCGGTACGGTGCTGCAGAGTGCGATCAGCGTTTGGGCCTTTGCGATTCTGAAGACCTCGTGGATGCCGTTCATGGTTTTGGCCGGAGGGATCCATCCGATGGCGGATAAAACGTCTTTCTGGAAGAGATTTTGGCTGTAGAAAGCGATGTCGAGAAGAAACCAAGTGGAGGTGGTTCCGAATAAATGGAGGCCGTGGCGGCGGAGGAATTCCCTTGAGAATAAGCCGAAGTTGTTACTTTTGCCTTTTGATATCTTCTCCACTTTTTCTTCTTCAGCTTCCAACTCCACGTTCAAAACTTTGGCCATGTCTGTCGCCGCCTGTTTAGCGTTTTTCGCGATGAGGGCGGTATAACGGGCAGTTTCCGGCATCTTCATGCGCCAGTAGAAAGTCAAGGCGGCGGGTAAAGCGCCGAACATCAAGACAATACGCCACACATAGTCGGCTTCCGGCGGAGTGGAGAGAGCCGGATTTTGCTCGTAGGTCGGGGTGGGGTACTGACGGTCGAAAGCTGTCGATACGATCAGAGAAATAATCCCACTGAACAAGATCCCCATACCTTGCATGGCGAAAACCGCCGCGATAAAGGCACCACGAGTCTTCTTATTGGCATATTCAGCCATGATGGTGGCGGAGAGAGGGTAGTCGCCACCGATGCCGAAGCCCAACCAGAATCGAAAGAAGCAGAGACTCGCCATCACACCCTTGGGTGTGTGGCCGAAGGAAAAACCGGAGGCGACTGCGCATATAATCATAATAATGAGCGTTAGTCCGTAGACCTTTTTGCGGCCCATTTTGTCGCCTAGCCACCCGAAGAAGAGCTGCCCGATTAGGGTTCCAACGAGTGCCACACCGGTGACCGAGGAGGAAACGCTCGGAGGTAAAACGCCAGGCTTTGGTGCACCGGGCTTGGTGTAGTAAAGACGGCCTAATAGCTTAGCAACTAAAGAGATACTAAACAGATCGTAGGCGTCAGTGAAGAAGCCCATTCCGGCGATGACGATGGTGGTGAAATGGTAGAGTTGGGTTTTAGCGACATCAAGTGCGTTGAGCACTTGCAATTGATCCCGAGCCATCGTTCGTCGTTGATGAATTCTCTGGATTTTCGAGAAAGAAACAAATTTCTGTTAAAACCCCGACTCAAACGATACAATGTTTTAAATCGAAAAAAATAACATTGTTGACATATACATGGGCTCTCAAAAGAAAGACGAGCCACTTCGTGCGCTGTTTTATATATGTGTCTTAGTTTCAAGGAGAGTCTACGTAATTAATCCCTAAAGCTAATTAATCATGAACAAAATATAAGA